TACGTTGGTGTAGGGGTGGGCAGGCTGAATCCAGAGGTAAGCCCTGGACCTGAATACCCTGCCAGTAAAAAAAAAAAAAAAAGATTCAGGAGCAACATGTAATTCATGAGCAATTCAGGGGTGGTGGCTCCCAGATAGTTCAGGGAAACTATGCTTGGTTGCTTGCCATTTCCCATTCTTCCATCCACTGGAACAGCTTGAAGGATTGGGAAGTATGTAATGTCTGGAAGGAGCCTGGATTTAGGCTGCGATGGAACACAGTGAAGAAAGAGGGAAGGAGCAAAGAAGGTGGCCAAGGTAAAAAACAAAACCAGGATGATGCAGATGCAGCAAGAGATGCGACGGTCAAGATACTGTGGGTAGAGAGAGCCTATCTGTCTATTTTCAGCTTGATCTTTCTCCAAGGAGCTTGGTGTCACACAGATGGTGCGTTTTTGTCCTCACAACCAGCCTGAGAGCTAAATTAAGCTGAGAGAATGCCTGGCCCAAGGTCTCCTATGAGCATTTGAACACAGGTCTCCCAAATCCTAATCTGACATTGCTGCACCACACTGGTTATTATGAAGGGGAGATAAGAAACAGCCAAGTGAATCGGCTAGTCCACCTGCTGCACGTGATGTCTCCAGAGTGTTTCTTTGTTGGTCTGTAAGTTGGGCAGCCAATTTTTTTCTCTGTGGCATGGCTTCTGTGCTTTGGCTGGACAAATTTCGGTTTAGCAGATGACCATTTCCTCATCATTATGCTGCCCATGTTTGGAAAAGCTTCCTTGGCCACTTTTCTACATGCCAAGGACATGGGCTAAACAACAATGGCGATCCTGTTTGAGACTGGGTTCCTGGTGCATTGGTAGCTCCTGTCAGTTGCTAAAGTCCATAGAAGAAATCTTCCACAAGCTTTTCCCATTGGCTGAGCTGTAGTACAAAAATCCATCCTAATGTTCTAACACATTGTTGTTTTAAAGCCAGTGGTTGCTATCTTGTCTTTGATTGATAGGATGAGCTGTTATTCATTTCTTCAGAGATCATTTTAAAGATTTCGGGTCTGTTTTCTGTGGGGAGATAGTAGAAAGCTCCCCCCCATCTCCAGTTTATATAGTACCATATTTACTGGAATTTATTACTTCCAGCAGGCCATACTTGTGACTGACCACTGCTGGAAACAGGATGCTTGGAAGACATAGGAGGTTTTGGGAGGTCACATGGGAGGTTTTGGCCAGCAAGAGGGACAGATTCGGGGGCGCATCAAACGGGTGCAATCACACCGCAACATCTGTGAAGCAGCGCGCACCCGGCCCCAATCCGTCCCTTCAGGCCGATAATGCGCAGCAAAAAAGAACCTACAAAAGAGCAGTAAATACCTGAAACGCCGCAGCAAGCGCGCCCGTGGGATCGCCGGCATGCCCATCTTCAGGAGCATTCGAGGGTCCCTGCCGAACTGCGCATGGGTACACATGCACAGCCGGCTGCCTCGCTCTGTGTCACACCAAGGCATTTTTAGGGCATTTTTAGGGCTATTGAACTTTTACCACATCTTTCTGCCCCACAAGGCGGCGGTTGCTGAGCCCCTGCACAGACTGCTGGACAAGTCAGCGCTGTGGGCCTGCCCCCCCCCCCCCCCGTGTGACTGGGGCCACAGATTACTGGTCCAATACAGTATGGCTGTCCTCATGTTGTTTAAGACCTCCAGTACTGAGCTGCATTCCACGCATATGGGAAACAGACCTGAATGTGGGAACTACAGATCCACACAGTGACTCTTATCGCTAAAAATGGAGGGTCACGGCCCGGGTCCCAAAAATTAAGGCCTGAGACAAAAATGAAGGAAATGGATACACTGGGTGGGAGCCAGTGAATTTTGATGCACATATGAAATTCTGCATGTTGTAGGCACATCATATTGACCACATCTGGGGAAAGTTTTCTTGCTGTGAATGATGGTGTTCAAGTCTGCCTCTGGCAGTTCTAATCCTTTGGTTTTCCCTCATGAAATTTGAGCTGTGGTGGCAAACAGACTTATCAGCCATTCTTTTCACCAGAAGTGAGGTGGAAAGGGAAGGCTGGATCTGTGGATTACACATTCTTTAATCATCACTGGGTTCCATGGTGGCTCACCCAGATTAAGAGGGCGTGCCAAGGAGATTGAGAGATCTGGTTGCTGAGGCTTTGTTGTGACTGAAACAACAGGCGTGGTTATCACACCATCTCAAGTTAATATGTCTCCAAAATCATGGACTTGGGAACCTAGACGGGTCAGGGCCTTCTTCACATATAAAGCTGAGGACTGGAGGTTACACATGTGGTTTTTTTGTGTGTGTGTGTGTGTGTGTGAGAGAGAGAGAGAGAGAGAGAGAGAGGAGTGAACTAAGGAGGCAAAAGACTTTATCCCACGTTTCCACACTCCCTGCACATTTCCTCAGTAGTGAAATTTCCCACATTGACGTTTTAAAAACTGCATGTTATACGAAATTTTCCACAGTAGATTTTGCCTCACCAGGCGCGAACCTGGGGTTTCTGAAAACGAGGGTTTGTGCCCGGTGAGGAAAACTCTACTGTGGAAAATGTCACATAAAAAGAAGCCAAAAAAGAACAGCCGAGCCAAAGAGACATCAGCCTCCACCTGGGTACCGGTAGGCAGCCCTACCCAGAGAATCAATGTGGCCTTAGTTAGGGTTTAATGTGACTAGCACTCCATATGTAAACCGCCCAGAGACCCCCACGGGGGTTAGGGCGGTATATCAAATCGAAGTAATAAATAAATAAATAAATAAATAACACACAGTTTTAAGAACGTCAATGCAGGGAATTTCACCACTGCGGAAATGGTTCCTCCTGTCACACGCTCTAAGCCTAACCTATCTCAATAGAACAAAGTTAGAGTCCAGTGGCACCTTTAAGACCAAAAAAGTTTAATTTGGGGTATAAGCTTTCGTGTGCATGCACACTGAAGAAGTGTGCATGCGCACAAAAGCTTATATACCAGCTTGTACCCAGAATTAAGCTTTGTTGATCTGAGAAGTGCCGCTGGACTCAAACTTTGTTCTGTTGCTTCAGATCAACACAGCTGCTCACCTGAATCTACTTAAGTAGGTTATTGTGAGGATAAAATGGAGAAGGAGAGAATATTGTAAGCAGCTTGGCTCCTCACTGGAACAAAAGTGAGGTATAAATGAAGTGAGTGAATAAATTAATTAATTCCTCTGTACATGTTTGATACATCCTGCATGGAATGTACAGCTTTTTCCCCATCATGGCTTGTACTCTATTTGTAAATAGAGAGCCAATTTGGTGTAATGGTTAGGGACGTAGACTCTAACCTGGGAGAACTGGGTTTGATTCCCCACTCCTCCACATGCAGCTGCTGGCGTGACCTTGGGTCAGTCACAAATTCTCTCAGAGCTGTTCTCTCAAGGGCAGTCTTCGAAAGAGCTCTCTCAGCCCCACTTACCTCACAGGGTGTCTGTTGTGGGGAGGGGAAGGGAAAGGGATTGTAAACCGCTCTGAGACTCCTTTGGGTAGTGGTGTATAAATCCAATCTCCTCCTCCTCCTCTTCTTCTTCTCCTCTATCCCCTCGTTTTCTTTCTATGGCTTTCTATCCTCATATTTCTATGGGTCTCTTATTTTTTTCTGGTATCCTCTTACCTGGTAACCTTCAGATTCAATGGTTCCATTTCTGGTTCTCTCTCTCTGTCTCTCTGCTTATTCTCCCTGTTTTTCAACAGCAACTCCAAGTTAGGACTGATTGGCCTCCAGCTTCCCCTCTGTGGTTGCTTTCTCCTCCATTCTTACTGTTAGAATGTGAGCCTGGGGGCAGGATTTTTCTCTTCTTGGCTTTTGTGTAGTGCTTAATATTTTAATTGCTTTAAAAATATTGCCTTGGGAGTTCTTAACCCAGCACTACCTTGGCTGTGTAGCCTTTCAGTGTTAGCAGAGGTTGTCTGAACAGATTTCTCAGCGCAAAAGTGGTTTTCCCCATTTTTCTTTCACCACTTTTATTACGGTGTGCTTTAATTGTTCACATACAGATCTCCCCTCAGTATTTTCCCTTTTACAAAATGCTTGCCCTCGTGGCAGTGTTTTCTATGAAGCCCCTTATCAGATGTTGTTGTAATCACACACACCATGAGTCCATCGATCATGTGCCATTGCAGTATGCTTTGTCTGCAGTTCTCCTGAGATATGCTGTCACCAGGTTGCAAGACCAGAGGCAATGTGTATATTTATTAACATAAGAACATAAGAGAAGCCAATGCTGGATCAGGCCAATGGCCCATCCAGTCCAACACTGTCACACAGTGGCCAAAAATACCAGGGGCCATCAGAAGGTCCAACAGTGGGGCCAAGACACTAGAAGCCCTCCCACTGTTGCCCCCCCCCAAGCACCAAGAATAGAGTGCATCACTTGCCCCAGACTGAGAGTTCCTATCTATACCTTGTGGCTAATAGCCACTGATGGACCTCTGCTCCAGATGTTTATCCAATTTCCTCTTGAAGCCGTCCATGCTTGTAGCCGCCGCCACCTCTTGTGGCAGTGAATTCCATGTGTTAATTACTCTTTGG